TCTTGAGAAAGCTACCATGTGACTCTCCCAAAACATCATGCAGGACCTGTTTTTACTTGATCTCCAGGTGGTTTAATCCAATCAAGAATCTAAACTCTGTGTGTGTGTGTGTGTGTGTGTGTGTAATAAATATTTGTATTCACTAGAAACACACACAACCTAGGAAGAATGATTCTTTCTGCAAGAAAAAAAATACACAGAATGTCCAGGAAACATCTTATGTTTTAATTTACAGAGATAACTTTGAAACATAATTTGGGGGGCAAGGTTTCCCCACAAGTGGGATATGTAGGTAATGTGGAGCCCAGGAATGAATCCTCCAAGAATGGTTGAAACATTTATATGGGAACCTAATGATTCTGTATTAAACCTTGGGGCAAACTAAGACAGGGAGGCTGCATTTCTTCTTGCCAGCAGTTGACCCAAAGTTTCTCCCTCTACCATAGGTGGGTTTCAGTAGACTGAGGGGAAACTTGTGTAAGGTAATGCCAGAGAACACCAGCTTGATCTTACACGGGGAAACCCCTTGAGGTGTTAGGGAATAACGCTGCAGAATAGTCACTCTCTGGTTCCATGTGTTCCCCTCACAGCCATCCACCCCACGCTTTCCGGAGTCCCAGGCACATGCAAGTTGCACAGATGTCCTTCCATAGATCTGGAGGGAAGGGAGGATGCCATTTAGTCTCAGTCCCTTCCCTCTTTTGAAAAATGTTGGCCAGTTTTCACTGTTTTTCAGCTGCGGGAGGTTTTATAAAAGTGAAACCAGAAGGGGTGCTGTCATAAATATAAAGGGAAGGGTAAACCCCTTTGAAATCCCTCCTGGCCAGGGGAAAGCTCCTCTCACCTGTAAAGGGTTAAGAAGCTAAAGGTAACCTCGCTGGCACCTGACCAAAATGACCAATGAGGAGACAAGATATTTTCAAAAGCTGGGAGGAGGGAGAGAAACAAAGGGTCTGTGTCTGTCTGTATGCTGGGTCTTTGCCGGGGATAGACCAGGAATGGAGTCTTAGAACTTTTAGTAAGTAATCTAGCTAGGTATGTGTTAGATTATGATTTCTTTAAATGGCTGAGAAAAGAATTGTGCTGAATAGAATAACTATTTCTGTCTGTGTATCTTCTTTGTAACTTAAGGTTTTGCCTAGAGGGGTTCTCTATTTTTTTAATCTAATTACCCTGTAAGATATCTACCATCCTGATTTTACAGGGGGGATTTCTTTATTTCTATTTACTTCTATTTTTTATTAAAAGTCTTCTTGTAAAAAACTGAATGCTTTTTCATTGTTCTCAGATCCAAGGATTTGGGTCTGTGGTCACCTATGCAAATTGGTGAGGCTTTTTATCCAACATTTCCCAGGAAAGGGGGGGGTGCAAGTGTTGGGAGGATTGTTCATTGTTCTTAAGATCCAAGGGGCTGGGTCTGTAGTCACCTAGGCAAATTGGTGAGGCTTTTTACCAAACCTTGTCCAGGAAGTGGGGTGCAAGGTTTTGGGAAGTATTTTGGGGGGAAGGACGCGTCCAAACAGCTCTTCCCCAGTAACCAGTATTAGTTTGGTGGTGGTAGCGGCCAGTCCAAGGACAACGGGTGGAATATTTTGTACCTTGGGGAAGTTTTGACCTAAGCTGGTAAAGATAAGCTTAGGAGGTTTTTCATGCAGGTCCCCACATCTGTACCCTAGAGTTCAGAGTGGGGGAGGAACCTTGACAGGTGCTTTGGCTGTATTGGCTTGTTTAAGCCTTTTGAATATCTACACAACTGAAAAGCAGAAGGGTTAAGGATAGTAGCACAGAGCTGGTGTGCAAGGGCTACAATGACCTTTATTTAAAAAATCCAAACCCAATTTTATTAAACACATTGTCAAAGCTTCAGAGTTCAAGAGAAATAAAATATGTTTTAAAAAGACATTTTGGGGACTGTCTTATGTGAATTGGTGTCACTTCATATTTAGAAAATAGAAAGACTAGATTGAAGTGTCTCTTCAGCCGTAGCCTACCCATTAGCTTGTGAAATTATGATGCTCTTATGTGAGATTACTACTCTGAAACTGCTTCAATATGACACCATGGTGCACCTATTACAGAGCCATTACACAATGTGAGATTATAGGAAGCTATTTCAATGCAAATCAATGGTGACTCTGATGATGACATAAAGATGCCATTACAAGGGAAGATTTAAGTGGGAAGAAAGGTTTATTTTTTTCCTAATACAAAGATCCCTCTACATTTAAAAAAAACCCCACATTTATTGTATACTGTCACAAGATGATTTATAAAAAGAGAGGAATTAAAGAGACAAGGTAGGGTTTTCATCTTAACAAGTGACATGACCCAGTAGTTCATGTTAAAGAGATGGAGCATCATGAGTGAAAGAGAAGCCCAAAACTGTGAGGAGTCTGGTGGAGGCCACGTATGAAAGAGTGCTGCAGGTAGCCAGTTGAGAAATAGATATGCTGTGAGAAAGAGTGTACATAGAGAGTATAAAAAGCCAGGAAAGTAACTGTGCATGTGGCTCAAACAAAACATGACTGAAAATCCGAAGGGCTGGGATAACTATGTCCAGGCCTCCTGTATTCAAAGGAAATTGATCATGCATCCACCTGACTCAAAAAGAATGATCTCTTTTTGGTGTTCTGGAATGCCAAGATAACAATGAGATGGGGTTGTTTTTATAGCTGAGACTCTAAGATATGCTTGACACTTCAAAGTAACCAAATCAAAAGAGCCAAAGAGCTCAAAATCTAAATGTGCTGTGACAATAGAAGAGGACACTCAGAAACAAGAGGGGATGAAAGTATAATGTAAAATAATATCACCTGGTTATGAGTTAGCAAAGAACCCTTCTTGCTGGTCCTGTTTAAGTTTTGTTTTGCTTTCCTTCCCCTCAGTTTGAGAAGGAATCAAACAGAAATTACTTTTGGGGAGGAAGTATTGGAATGATATGAGAGATTAACATCTCCTAGAATAAGTGCAGGAAGATTATGAAAAAGAAACCTAGAATAGCTGAGCTAGGAAGAGGAAATATATGATGCTTAAATGAAATATCACAATAGGAAAACAAACCTACAGGGAGCATGTGATGATGCTTATTTGAGGCAATTATAGTGTGAAGTATGTGTGTGTGAGTGTGTGTGGCTATAAATGCTATGACTTTGGTATCTGTGTTTTATCTTTAAATTACTAGAGGTCTGCTGTGTGCCAGAGGCTGCCACCATCTTGAGTTCAGCTCAGATGTGGCCTGTTACAGGGAAGATAGACTCTGTGCTCTCTCTTAAAGACTTGACTTTTATTCTTTCTTGTTCAATTGTTTTCCCTTAAGTGAAAACTCATTTGAATTGCAACTATGCTTGATCTTTGTAAAAAATCATAATGAAACTCTAAAGAAAATTTTATGAAGACAAAATGTTACATATTAAGCAGTTTGGAAAATATTACAAACATTATTATACCTGAGCACTCAAGAGCTGAAAGCACTCATAAAGAGTATCTTGCACTAGTCTTGCAAAATGCACCCATTAATCTGGGAGATATAGATAAGCAAGTAAAATATTAGTTTTTTGCAAAGCTGCATTAATTTGCCCAGGAAATGATCCTTCGGAGGCCAGGGATGGTACACTTGAAAGGGGAAAAAAATTGCCAGTGCAAATCTGGAACATAGTATGTATGATCTAATTGTAATGTGGCAAAGTTCCTGTTGGTATGGAAATTATGTGCAAATGAAACAATGTCAATATAGCCAATAATCTGCTCTTGGGATTAAGGAAATTCCCCCTGGGGAAGAGCAAGTAGCCCTAACTCTGCCACCCTCTGCTGAGGAAAGATTCAAATCTCTGTAGTAGCACCTGAAGCACAGACTACCCAGGAGACTCACCTCCTCTTTAGCTATCCCTGTCCACTTTCTGGCCCATGCAAACAAGATGCAGAGCCCCCCAGCAAGCAGGAGATGTGAGTGGTTTGTTTTTCTGTAGCCTGACTCTGGGTGGACACTGGACATTTGACCTCTGGGATCCCATAGCTTGGGTTCTGTTAGCTGAACCTGAGGAAAAAATCAGGCCCATAGAGTCCTGCTCTGGTTTGAGATGTGAACATGCAATCCCCTGATGCACATAAGCAAAGTCAGATATGGTCTACAAGCTGTATTAAAATAAACCTACCTGTTGTAACATAATTCTAAAGCAGCAGAGAAAATCATAGCTTTTGCCAGGATTTATGGCTGGAAAATAGCTGGCACTAACAGATTAAATTCCTTTCTTTTAACCAGAATGGGAAAAATATCACTAGAATCAGCTCAGTACAATTTGAATAAAGATTAATAATATTTAGTGATGCTATTTATTCATTGGAATAATACAGACTATCTTTTGTGTCATAACTCCAACACATCTAAGTGAAGGATGCTTTAGAAAGCCTCAATATATACCTTATTTGCTGATGCTATTTACATGCCTGAACCATCATTTCATGTTAACACTATTAGCATGTGTGTTGATTAAGCAACTTAGAGTTTAAGCATCAACCAATTACTTAGTCAAAATCTAAACAGTTTAACATAGCTATAACAAATAATGTATGAGATAGAGATTCAATGGAAAACTCACTGAATATTTGCAGGTTTATTACCTTAATTGTTCATTGGTATAGTGTAAGGGCATTCATAATGTAAATGTGCAATCTAAAGGAAGTTATATAAAAGAATAAACTAATCAGTTATTAAATTATAAATGCAAGGAGACAGAATATTACTTTGAATTATGCTTCACAATGCTGAGTCCTGGTTTATTCTTTAATAACTTTGGAGTTATAATTGTGAGCCTTCTATTGCCAAAGGATACAGCCAGTCAAAGCTACTGAAATAAAGCAGAAGCTTTTAAAACTGGAATAGTGTGGCAGCATGAAATGAGCCTGCTGGGCATTTAAACAGTATAAAGTATCACAGTTAAATGCATTTTGCAGGCATTATAAATCAATTTGTGTAACAGAAAACAAACTACAGTCAGACCCTCTTTGAAATTCACATTTTTTTATTCTTTCATTGCTGACTTTAAAAAGATAAAGATGAAACGCAAAAGGTGACATCACATGAAAATCACTTATTAAGGGTAAGAGGGCAACTATAAAAGTATTTAGATGACCCATTCAAATACATACAATTAGCAAGAGCATGTGGTAAACTGTTTATATTGTAAATGTTGTGTATAACATAAAAAAAACCAAAATCTTTTCTCAGCCACCAGTTTGTTCTTCGTCTACTGGTGCTTACATCATGAACGTCAGTGAATTGACAAAAGACACACACACACACAACCCAACATTCTTTATTTGTGGCTGTATCTTGTCACCCAGTGCATGCCATCTAACTGTTATTCTTGCTCTGTTATGGCTGACTTGTAACTTGCTTTAGGATATCGTAATATCTCAGATATCATTCAGGAGTCCAACGCTGGTGCTTCTTCCCTGGCTAGTATTATATGAGAGAGATGCCACATGTATCAGAGTTAAGGACAATAAGAAAGAGGTGGGTTTGTTTTTTTGGTTTTTTTTTTAGATTTGTGTTTTTTAATATATTAGGAACAAAAAGAATCCTGACAATGGTATTGGTCCATTACTAGATGGAAGTGGTAGAATTAATAATAAGGCAGAAGTAAATGTTCGTTAAATATTTCTGTTCTGTTTTTGGTATCTGTGATGGGGTGTACTCAACACTAGTAGCACCTCCTCCTGGCCAGCCCGGGATAAACTCCAGCCACGCGTTGCACCCTCCTCCAGCAGTGTCTTTCCGGTCCTCCTCTCATCCTGCAGACCTCCCTTGCTCCAGGAACTGCAGCCTTCTCTTTATGGCTCAGCCCTCAGGCTGGGTCACCATACATGTTTCCCTTCCAGGGGTAGTGTAACAATTTTTTTTTCCAGGACCAACTGTCCCAGTCAGTCCACTGTCCTCTGCCAGGCCTGTGCCATTTCCCCAATGGCTGACAGGGGAACCTGGGGCTGCCTTCTACTCCAGGTTCCAGCTCAAAGGCCCTCCAGTCAGCAGTCAAGATGTGCACTATCCTATCATGCTGCTTTCTCCTGAGCCTTTCCCTACCTTCTTGGATTCATCCCTCTCTGGGTCCACCATCCTCCCAATTCCCTCCTCTCAGGGAATAACTGCAGTTTGCCTTCCTGCAGCCCCCTTCTGTTGCCAGCTTCTTGGCTTATAAATTTCCTCCTCAGTTGGGCACCATCAACAATTAGGTCCCAGCCTTCCTTGCTTCTCCTACAGGTTCAGCCTGGCCAACCCTACTTGGCCACCTTTCAGTCCTGTGTGGGATGGACACCCCATGACAGTATCATATGGTGCTGATATCTTTGTCCATTTGACTAGTACCTCTGGAGAAAGTAATATAGAAGCTCTAAAGGTTAGAACTTTTTAAAATCAGTAAGCCCAAATAACTTGCATCCAAGAGTTTTAAAAGAGCTGGGAGAGGATATTGCTGGACCATTAATGTTGTTTTTTTTTTCAATAAGTCTTGGAGCACTGGAAAAGTTCCAGAAGACTAGAAGAAAGCTAATGTTTTGCCAATTTTTAAAAATAATAAATGGTATGACCCAGATAATTATAGGTCTGACATAGATCCTGGGCAAGATAATGGAGCAGCTGATACATGACTTGATTAATAAAGAATTAAAGGAGGGTAATGTAACTAATGCAAAGCAACATGGATTTATGGAAAATAGATTCCATCAAAATAACTTGATATTTTTTTCTGAGATTACAAATTTGTTTGATAAAGGTAATAGTGTTCACGTATTGTACTTAGACTTCTCTGAGGCATTTGACTTAGTACCTCACAACATTTTGATTAAAAGAAACAATATAAAATGTAACCTGGCACAAATTAAATTGATTAAAAACTGGGTAACTGATAGGTCTCAATGTACTTGTAAATGGGGAATTGTTGTCAAGTGAGTGTGTTTCCAGTGGAGTCTCACAGGAATCAGTTCTTGGCCTTTACACTATTTAACATTTTTATCACTAACCTGAAAGCAAACAAAATCATTAATGACAAAGTTTGCAGATAAGACAAAAATTGAGAGGGGGTGGGTAAATAATGAAGAGGACTGGTAACTGATTGAGAGCGATCTGGTAAACCTGGCACAAACAACAATATGTGTTATAATATGGCTAAATGTATACATCTAGGAGCAAAGAATGTAGGTCATACTTACAAGATGGGGAAACTGTATCTTTGGAAGCAGTGACTTTGAAAAAGATTTGAGGGTGATGGTGGATAGTCAGCAGGACACGAGCTCCCTGAGTGATGCTGTGGCCAGAAGGGCTAATTCAATCTTGGATGCATAAATAGGAGAATCTCAAGTAGGAGTAGAGAGGTTATTTTCTCTCTCTGTATTTGGCACTACTGTGACTGCTGCTAGAATACTGGGTCCAGTTCTGGCATCCTCAATTCAAGAAGGATTTTGATAAATTGGAGAGGGTTCAGAGAAGAGCCACAAGAAAGATTAAAGGGTTTAAAAAAAACCCCACGCCTTATGTGATAAACTGAGCTCCTTGAGTCTATTTAGCTAAACAAAGAGAAGGTTAAGGGGTAAATTGATTACAATCTGTAAGTATCAAAATGGGGAACAAATATTTAAAAATGGGCTCTTCAATCTAGCAGAGAAAAGCATAACATGATCAAATGACTTGAAGCTGAAGCTAAACAAATTCAGACTGGAAATAAGGTTGACCTAAATTTTGACAATGAGGGTAATTAACCATTGGAAAAATTTACCAAGGGCTCTTGGTGGATTCTTTATCACTAGCCATTTTTTAAATCAAGACTGGATGTTTTTTCTTAAAGTTATGCTCTAAGAATTTTGCAGGGGACATTCTGTGGCCTGTGTTACACAGAAGGTCAGATGAGATGATCACAGTGCTCCCTTCTGGCCTTGAAATCTCTGATTCAGTACAGCAGATATCAACTCACTCTCCTCTCCAAAATACTGTATCTGTTTGATACATAATTTATTTGGCTATATAGGTTGGAATTCAAACCACTGCTGTTCCTAGTTATACAAACAATAGTGCAAGAGTAAGTAGGTACTCCAAACAAATTTTAAAAATTAAAACATTTCAGGAGAAGTATGTATAATTATTCTTTGGAAATCAATGCCCTTGTATATTATTGAAATTATTCAACATTGTTATGAATTAGACTAGCATCTGCATTTGGGATAAAGTTACAAGGACTATCTTGCTTTAGGATATAAGCTGATCACCAACTCAGGTTCTCCCATGGTATCTCATTTCATAATTAGGTACACAATATAGTAATTTTACTGTCTATGCTGAGGGCATCGGGATTGTTCACTTTCTACAGAATAAAGCATTGAATTCTAGGACACAAAGGGGAGGTGCACGTATAGATTTTCTTAATAGGAGGATTTCCTTCTATATGCTCTACAGTTAGTGAGCATCTAATCACAAACAGTTTGGAAGCTCAGCTCAAAGAGGAAACCAGCAACTCACATGCTTATTTAAAATTCTCTGAACTTCTTGGGTCTGCAGAACTGGTACAGAACATCTATGAATTAGAACAGCCTTTTTTCTGAGGTATTTTGGCATTTTTTCCTCATTTTTTGCCAGAATCAGATGCAGAGAAATGAAAACTAATGGGGGTGGGTAGTGAATAATAATAATAATAATAATATTAATAATAATTAATAATGGGGCATTTCTGAGCCTCAGAATTGTTTTGGGTTAGTTCAATATCCAAGCAATTTTGTCCATCTCTAGTTGTATCACTTAGTCAAAAATCAATGAGTTAAGATTGTAATGCACACTTATTCAGAATTGATTTACTAGCCATTACTTTATTGAAACATGTTGTAGTTTCTATTAAATCTATTTGGTACTTTTGTTCTAGAGCTGATGTCAGAAATATTTTATCTCCGATGCCTATTTTGGACACTTTTTTTTCCAGACTAGTATAGGACTTTAGTCTATGTATGACAACTTATTATTATTTATTAGGAAAATATACACAGCATGTGATTATTAATGTCCCATTTCAATGTATAAATCAGACACCTTGCAAATTTTCCGGTTGAGGTCAGAGACTGAAAGTTATATTTTTAAGCTAATGGAAAATATTCTTCATTTTAAATACTTAGGGGTATCTTGAAAAAAAAAATAGGATCAATAAAGAATGGTAATTTCCCATACTGTGGATGTTTAACTGGTGTTTCCATGTGGTGGTGGTAGTGGGAATTGCAGTCATACATTCACCTGTGAGAGATGATAGGGAAGTTACTCAAAGTCAGTGATCTGTGGTCAGACCATACTGGACTATATGGCAATAGAAAGCTTGTCCATTACCCCAGTGCTATTTGGGGTTGTCTCCTGGCACAGACAGAATTAACACGCAGTTAGGTGGTGACATTGGTAGCCACATGAATATCTACTATCATACTGTTGCCACGTGAAACAGCCACCATTTCCTTATGGACTGGGAGAACTGATCCTTATCTTGTAGTGGGTCTAAATGTTTTGTTAAATGTTGTCTTTGATTTATGTAATAAGGGCCTGATACTGTAATCTCCTAAATATCTGAGTAGTCCCTTTTACTCCAGTGAGACTCCTTGAGCAAGGACCACTTGCATAAGAGTTGCAGAATCAGCCCCAAGTTGAACTTTCTAGTTACTCAACATTGCTAACGACGGTATACAATTCAGATTGAAGTGAATATAGTGTTCCATAGTTCATATGAACTAGACACCATCTCCAAAAATGGCTGGTAATACCACTACTTACTTCACTACCATAAAGTGATCCATATATTTGCAGGAAAAATATACTTTATTTTTAAGTAACATGGTCTGTCAAATCACTGAAAAAATAAATTGAAAAAATAATGTGAATATTTCCCACATTAAATTCTGCCCATAGTTTCAAAGCCTAACTACAAAGGCACTTCTGAAATAATTTATGGGACAAAATCACATGTAGGCCCATCTCTGTGATGTGATCTTAAAAGGCTTTTGGTAATTTGTGACTATCTTTTGATCTTCTGGAATGGTGGGTGAAGGAGGGAGACATAATAAAAAAAGCCACAATAACTGAACATTGAAGAATTCAGTAAATACCAAATTTTTCAGTATTCTAGTCATAAATGCATCAATTAATGTTCAACAATCAATAATTCATTTACTGGTTTATTCCAGGTAGAGATATAAGTATACATGGACAATTAATGGGGTATATATTATTGAACCATTGAGAGAGCACGGTTACTGCTTTTCATGCTCTGCTAAAGCACTCTTTTCCATTATTTTTGGTGAAATGGAAGCTGGTAAACTTCATTAAAGATGAAAATGGTAGGAATTCATAACATGTTAAGAGTAAAAAAAGAATAGAGACGTGTTCCATTATTATGGCTGACCTACCATTTGGGGCTGCAATTGGCTCCCCACGTTTGTGCCCATGGTCCAATTGTGGGTAAATGCATTTCTAAGTTCCTGAATGTGGATGCAAATCAGCTGCTTAAAGATGCAAATTGTTTGGGACTGACCTATGTAACTGTTACTCATGGTGAAGTCAATTGGGTTACACACCAGTAAGGAAGCATACACCAATGTACGCATTCCACAACTGGGACCCATAAACACAGATTTGTGCCCATTCACAAATTTCACCTACTAACTAAAAATAAACCCTCTCATGTATAAGTCACATTACACAGGCAACTCTGCTAGTGTTTGTCTTACCTGCCCAAAGTTGTTTAGCTAGGAGTCATTGACTGTTCTTTTGTGACATGCTTCCTCATTCCTCATAAATATCACTTCCATGAGATAAACAGCTTAGTAGTGCAGGGAAGTATTTCTGAGGCATCTGGGCTTATTTAGACATGGGAAATGTAAGAGAAAAACAATGCATTAAGAGCAAAGTGAATTCAGAACTGTGCTTAAAGAAAAAAAAAGAGTATGAAGTAGTGAAATCCATCAGGGAGACAAAAAAGGCACCAGCATTAGCCCAAGGTTTATATATTTCCATATGAAATTTTTTGGAGCTCTGATTTTGCAGTTTCAAGCTAAAATATATATAATATTTGTAGGTTCTGCATCTGCTGGCGAGAGAGTAAAACACACTTAGTATATCGAGGTATCAAATGTTCAGATTTGGTTGCCTAAAATTAAGTGTGTTGATATGAAATTAAGCTTGAAAATACTGGTCTTAATGTGGATAACTTTACTTATATGGCTCCTTATGTTGATTTCATATTTAAAATGCCTGACCTAAATAAATCCTTTGCCATCTTTAGAGTAAGGTACATGGAAATCTTTGTTCTACTTTATACCAAATGTATTGTTCTCTTTAGTTACTCTGGAGATGCCCATAGTGGTAAAACAGCAAACTGCTGTATTTTGTCACAGATAAAAATTTGGTCTTAAGGTAATAAGTACTTTCTTCACTCATAGTAGAGTACTTTGAGTGATTCATGAAGTGGTCAGGGTTTTAAAAAAAAACTTGTATTCACTTATGCATAATTCAAACAACACCAATTGCAGCTATCAAAGTAGAAAGGATATGATTGTCACCATGCCCAAAGTATGATCAGTGAGTACCGAGATCACAGAATCCTAGGAATTAGAGATGGAAAAGACCTATTATTTCCTAGGGTTATTTTCTAGTCCAGATTTAAATGTCTTAAGCAAGGGATCTTCCACCACCTCCTTGGGAGAAGAAAAGGAGTACTTGTGGCACCTTAGAAACTAAAAAATTTATTTGAGCATAAGCTTTCATGAGCTACAGCTCACTTCATCGGATGTATTCAGTCTCTAAGGTGCCACAAGTACTCCTTTTCTTTTGCAATACAGACTAACACGGCTGCTACTCTGTTACCTTGGGAGACAATTCAAGAATACAAGAGGTCTTACTATATGGAAATATTTCTAACATTCAACCTATCATCCTATGGTTAAGACATTGTGTCCAGAAACAGACACTGAAAGCTACACCTAAGATCGTGTAAATCAGTGTAACTCCATTGATATCATTGGAACTATGTCAATTCACATCAGCTGAAAATCTGAGCCAGTTTGACAGGTGTTTTCCTTCATCCTTCCTACCTTCTTTTTTATTTTTGACTGCCATTTCCACATAAAGCATTGCACTAATCCACTTGATAAACAGAAGATTTAACATGTGTTATTGACTTTGTCCTGAGGAATATTTGAAATACCTCAAAAAAAAGTTATATTATTTTAAACTTCACAAGCCCATCATATTCTGTAGTGCCTTTAAGGGTCCTGGAGCTGTAGTGAAGCTGTCTGGCTTCTCCTTCCACAAGGGATGTAATCTGTATATGTAAGGTGCCCTTTCCATGCAGATTCCAGGAGGATGAACACACAGAATGCTGTTCAGATTTTGTCATGAGGGCTGATATGTAGCTCTGACTTTCCTGAAGAATAATCACTAACTTTGAAAAGTATAAATAGGCTAGATCAGGGTTTGTTTGGTGTTTTTTGTTGTTTTGTTTGTGACTGAGCTGGGGTTAAGTGTAAAATATGGAAACTTAGAAGAGAGCGTGTTTTTGATGAGGTGCCTACATTTGCAACAAAAGGATTTTACGGACATCATCTAGTGGGGCTCTAGAGAATACTAGCTGATAACACAAAATTCCACCAATACTTTGAAAGCATACTAATCATTATAGCCAACAATTTTTGTAGCTTACATAATAGGCTTTTGATGTCTATGGGTCACCATTCTCAGTCCTGGACTCAAGACCCTGAGATGGTTTTAATGAGGTAATACTGACTGCAGGGAGATGTTGTGATGGATCTCAATTCACTTTTACTGTTACATCCAAGATGTATGAAAAAAAGATATTTTAGAAAACTGTGTAAGGTACTATCCTTCACTCAGTAAGTTGATGTTAAATTAAGGATGCCCAGGTAATATAAACTGCTAAATGCTATATACATCACACTTTATACAGCCCAGCTGCTAAATAGCAGAAAAATAGTGTAAAATATGAAGCAAACAAGGTACAGTTACCTGACTTCTCAGTTGAACCTCCAAACTGTGTTTTATGCTAAGATTTCACCATAAGAACTTCATCTTCATACAGTGCTACATAATGAAAAATGAGGGGAAGATTCATAAAACAAGAGCAACATTTCAGACATTACAAATATAGCCTCATCCATCTTATTTGTCTTTGTCCGGACAAAAAGTTTACGAGCACTAGAGTAAATATTTATTTATATGGCATAACTTCATACATTACCATACCTCGAGGCATTTACTAAATTATTAATCAGTCAGTAATCCACGCTCTGGTTGACTTCACTGTGTATTTAGGCCATGGTATTTAATGAGGCAATGAAGTATTTAATTTTGCAAATGACCCTTCTTGACCTATTGAATATTTTCAGGAATAAGTAATCAGCAAAATAGAAAGGAAGAGTCAGCAGTACTCATAACATCTGTCTGACTTTGGCTGTGGATTTATAAAACAAAATTGGTCCTACCTGATCAAAATTTCTCCTAAGTAACAAGGGAAGACCCTTTTTGCTCCATTGTGCCGTTTCTGTTTCTCTCAAAGCAAGGTTTTTGAACACTGATACCACTACCAGGAATGCAGAAGAAATAGCCACTGTGGGGGACAGTGGTTTGAACACAGCATGCAGGCAAAGTACATTTAAATTGCATTAGAAGCATGTGGCAGGCTGCATACCATAGCACTTTACAAAAAAAGAAAAGAGTAGAAGGACATTTTTGAGTGAACTATGCTAACGTGTTAAGGCCATTTCTTGTAGAGGGAAAAATCCTGCAGTCTCCTGAGGGCCTAGTCCTGCTCTCCTTGAAGTGAATGGTAATTTTCACTGACGTCAATGAATACAGGATCAGGCCCTATTCTAACAAGCTATTGAACTACATGAAACAAACATGATGATTAGATCATTTTTCCTACACACCCATGGAACCAGATCCTTTCTTCTGCCTTTACCGTAGAATTAGTATGCTTGAGAGGAGGAAAATTTCTGAAGTCAGTTTTGGAGGGGTTGGTGTCAGAGTTATGCTTATAAGAAGCAAATGGAATCTTTTTCAAGCGGATAAATCAATACACCACATTTATTGAGTACAATTTAAGCATTGAAATCAGCATATGCTTCCATTCTCTCTCACACTCACACACACACACACACACACACACACACACACACACCCCGAAAGGTTCTACAGCTGGATCTTATAGTTACCAGTCCTTAGTGTTGCTCGGTCAGTTCCAGTGGCCAGCTGAAACTGCACAGAAGGGAGGGGAGCTGAGCCTTTGTGAAACGCGTTTGAAGCTCGATGTTGATACAGAATGAACCCAAAGTCCCATGGCTTTTATAGTGATAAGTTCCCATACAAGTCTATGGACCTTGCTGTGTCACACCGGAGCTGTCAATCGGGAGGTATTCGAGGTTGTTCTTAATTAGCATTATTCTGAGTTGTAACGGGGAGGATCCACAGCTGTTTCTTATATCATCCCTTTGGCTCAACTCCTTATCTCATCCTTGGGGTGTATGCCTTTGCTTTAGGGTAATCAATCTGCCATCTAGGTGATTGATGATAAAGTTGGTGCCTCTTGACTCCTCCACTCCCTTCTTGATCATCTGGCACAGTTATCCTTTCTCAGTTAATTGCCATACATTCTTCACTCACACCAAACAGTAAATAAGGCAATTACAGCCATAAAACTTCTATCCTTCTAAGAACAATCATTAACACAATTGGTAAAGAATAAACTCAGAACAATTTCTTCTTACTAATTCAAGGCTACAATTTCTTCTTATTAATTCAAAGCTAGCAAAATGGAGTATAAGGCAAAATAAGCAAAATGGAGTACAATTTTACTTGAGAGAATTTCTTCCCATTAGGCTTTTGTCCCTGTGGTATGGCACACTTCTTAAGGCAGTATAAAGGCTGTGAAACATGGAGGAAGATTTCTGGCCAATGACTCTGTGTGTTTACCGTTCATATGTTGGCATAAGCAGGTCCTTAATCCTTCTTGCAGAAAATCACCTCAAGGCAACACCATCCATACAAAGCCAAAGTATTAGTATATCTCATGGTCCTGAGCCAAAGCCCATAGCAGTCAATGAAAAGACTCCATTAAATTTAAAGGGTTTGGATCAGACTCTTCAAAATTTGGCTAATCTCATCTCTCAATGACTTTTATTGAAAGAATGCAGACCAACTTTTCTTGCAATTAACTATTTAATAATAAAAGTTACATCACCTGTGCACCAGGTTTTCAGACAGTGGATTTGCAGTGAAGAATATCTTCAAAACAAAAAAAATACTATAGCTTTAAATTAGTTTTAGATTTAACCAGTGTTGCATATAACAGTACTCAGATAGGACTGCATAAAATAATCCAAAATGAAAGATGTAACAAAATCCTACACCATTATATTGTTTGAGATCTGATGAATTGCTTGTTAACATTATATGTCAGAAAATAAATAGGGTTAGTTTGGGGTGCCTTTCAAACATCTCCAAATGCAGTGCTACCTATGACCTGAAGCATGACACGTTTGCTGAATTGTAATAACAAATTCTTCTCTTTTGCTAACTTATTCCTCATTTTCAAATTGTGCTGCTGTTTGTGTCATAATTGCATATCTCCCCAGAAAAAAAAAGGAACAGAACAAGCTACTTTAACAGAGCACCATTACTGAAGCAGACTGTATAGGAGATCTAATCTCATACACACAATCAATATGTTGCATTATAATAAAAACATTAAATAGGCAAGATTTGCAAAAGTTGTCAGTGATGGCCTAACTCTGCTCCCATAGAAATCAATAGTAAAATTCTCACTGGATCAAATAGGCCAACTCTGAGTACTTCTGAAAATCTGACCCACAGGAAACAATCCTGCATCAACAGAGGGATGGGCTAGCTGAATTGATAGGCATTTTTCATCTGTAATTTCACTGAGCCAAATTCTCTAGCTCAAGTTCAGGTTTACACAAGTTTACACAGAAAGTAAAATGAAGAGAGCTCAGATTTTTGTTTCAAATATTTTTTTTAAGGATTTTTTTTTAACTTGGATCAGAAATGTCAAGTTTGGTTTTCCCTTGCTTTTCTGGAAGACTTCGGGGGGCGTTAAATGTGTACTGCAGCTCCCATATCTTATTTGAAAGGGAGTTGTTGTATCTTTCACAGAGACAATCTTTTCTCCAAGTGTTTAAGCATTGGAGTTAACTAGATGCTAGCAAGAACTATGATTTCCCCCCTACAAAATTGGATTGAAAATCCTTTATCTTCCTAAATTCCTTGCTTTCAGTCTCTTATCATACATCTAAGGGAGAAAAAAAAATCTGAAAAAATATTTTTCACAAAACCCTATCAGGTTTTCTTTCTCTTATTATAAAAGCCTAACTTTCTTATAATTTGCAATTCACCATGAGGAGTGTGTCACACATATAGAGACAGGCAAAAGGTCTTGAAAAAATTGTGACCTGAACCATCACTAGGGGGTTGTTGAACTTTTATTTTAAATGCATCTCCAATTTCCCCTATTTTTTTCTATTTCCAGTTCTGGCCTACTGTTTTGCCCTGGATCAGAAGTTTTTTGTTTTTTTTTAAAGGCTTTTCTCTCATAAACTCCAGACTGTTGTTGCAGACTTGTGAAGCTCAGATAAGGTTAAGATAAGACTTTGAACATTTAGGTATTTATCCAAACCAAATCAGACCATTTGGTTAACCCAGTCCAAACACATACTCATAACTTTGCAGTATTTAAGGTAATGAACTTCTCTGTTACAGATATACAAAACAATAAAGAAGTAACTTTAGAAGGAGAAATAGGGGGGCAAAGAAATTCCTTATTGAAATACATAAACATGATGGAGAAGCAGTAAAATAACCTAGTATATGCAATGACATAGCGCTAGAACAGCAGCATACAAAGTAGATGAAATAAAAATAAAATTATATAATGCTCACGTCATGCCCTCCTTTGTGTATTGAGATTCTGATCATCACATAAGAATGAAAGAAAATATATAGAAATCCGTAAAGCCTACCAAGAAAGGTAAGAAAGCCAATCCCAAGACTAAAAACTATAAGTTATAAAAGCAAATCAAGTTTTATATGGTCTGAAAAATTACAATTACTGATAACATGAACTTTTACACAATGTGGATAATTTCAGTTTAGGCAACAATTTCACTGGAGGAGGGGCAAAAATTTAGAATAAGACTCATGAGCACTGTCTCCAATTAAAAAAAAAATTAGATATGATGCTTCTCAGACAGAGAACATAAGAACGGCCCTACTGCGTCAGACCAAGGGACCATCTAGCCCTGTCTTCCGACAGTGGCCAGTGCCAGGTGCCCCAAAGGGAATGAACAGAACAGATAATCATCAAGTGATCCATCCCCTGTCACTCATTCCCAGCTTCTGGCTAAAAGAGGCTAGGGACACCATTTCCGCCCATCCTGGCTAATAGCCATTGATGGACCTATCCTCCATGAATTTATCTAGTTCTTTTTTGAACTCTGTTATGGTCTTGGCCTTCACAACATCCTCTGGCAAGGAGTTCCACAGGTTGACTGTGCCTTGTGTGAAGAAATACTTCCTTTTATTTGTTTTAAACCTGCTGCCTATTAATTTCATTTGGTGACCCTTAGTTCTTGTGTTATGAGAAGTAGTAAACAACACTTCCTTATCTACTTTCTCTATACCAGTCATGATTTTATAGACCTCCATCATCTCTCCTCTTAGCAGTCTTTTTTCCAAGATAAAAAGTCCCAGTCTTATTAATCTCTCCTCATTCGGAAGCCGTTCCATACCCCTAATCATTTTTGTTGCCCTTTTCTGAACCTTTTCCAATTCCAATACATCTTTTTTGAGATGGGGCGACCACATCTGTATGCAGTATTCAAGATGTGGGTGTACTATGGATTAATAGAGAGGCAATATGATATTTTCTGTCCCATTATCTATCCCTTTCTTAATTATTCCGAGCATTCTGTTCACTTTTTTGACTGCTGCTGCACATTGCGTGGATGTTTTCAGAGAACTATCCACAATGACTCCAAGATCTCTTTCTTGAGTGGTAACAGCTAATTCATCGTTTTATATGTATAGTTGGGATTATGCTTTCTAATGTGCAATACTTTGCATTTATCAACACTAAATTTCATCTGCCATTTTGTTGCCTAATCACCCAGTTTTGAGAGATCCTTTTGTAGCTCTTCGCAGTCTGCCTGGGTCGTAACTACCTTTAGTAATTTTGTATCATCTGCAAATTTTGCCACCTCACTCTTTACCCCCTTTTCCAGATCATTTATGAATATGTTGAATAGGACTGGTCCCAGAACAGACCCCTGTGGGACACCACTATTTACCTCTCTCCACTCTGAAAAATGACCATTTATACCTACCATTTGTTTCCTATCTTTTAACCAGTTACCAATCAATGAGAGCACCTTCCCTCTTATCCCGTGGCAGCTTACTTTGCATACGAGCCTTTGGTGAGGGACCTTGTCAAAGGCTTTCTGAAAATCTAATTATGCTATTTCCACTAGATCCCCTTGGTCCACATGCTTCTTGACCCCCTCAAAGAATTCTAGTAGATTGGGGAAGCATTATTTCTCTTTACTAAAACCATGTTGACTCTTCCTCAACAAATTATGTTCATCTATATGTCTGACAATATTGTTCTTTATTATAGTTTCAACCAGTTTACCAGGTGTTGAAGATAGATGCAGGTATTACTCAAGAAAAAATTAAATGTCTTTGTGAGGAAAAGCAGAATTACTGAGAGAATGTTTTTACTTTGCTTTCAGGTAACATAATCCTTCTTTGTGTTCAGTTGCGTGCTATCAGATGCTGTTACAGTGTGTGGGGGATACCACCAGTGTAGAGATAGTAATTAAACATGTTTATAGTTACAGTTGTCTTGAATTTAAAGCTGGAATCATTCACAGTAGAGTCACAGGCTCGTTTTGAAATTTGTCATGTTCCTAACATCAGTAACATGAAGATTTGTTCTTTTTTTTTTTTTTTAAATGAATCTAACTTTCTATTGTAACATCAGGGGTATCCAAACGAATGAGGCAGAACCATATTATCTAAAAATCAAACAAACTTTCATGCAATCAGAGCCTCTCACCCTTCAGTACCTGTCACCTCCTCAGCCTAGAGTAGGTGGCAGTCAGCATCTTTTCTCCCCCTGCCAAAAATGCTTTGTTTCAATCCTGTTCACTCAGTCCCCCTTTCAAATCACATCTACTTACAACTCAGCTAATGGGAGAAAAGAAGGCCACTACACAATAGTGGACTTTCTGGGGACAGGAAAAATTCAATTAGTTAGGAGAATCAATGGCATCACAGAATGGTAAGAAGTATGTTAACCTTCACACTACCTTAAAACAGACCTGTAAAAGGCCAAGATTTTTTTTCAAAATGGCTAGAGATTTCAGGTGCCAACCTTGAGGCACCAGAAAGAGGCCTGTTTTTCAGAAAAAATATTGAGCACCTGCCCCCTGAAATCACACCCCTTAAAATGTTTCTAAATGAGTACCCCAAAAATTAAGGCACACAGAAGTCACTG